GTCATAGGAAAGATGAAAAATAGCAAGAAAACAAGAAAGAAGGATGGAAGAAAGAAACAAAAAGAAAGGAAAAAACAAGCGACACAAGAACACGTGTAGAAGAGAAGCAAATATACAACTAATGCACAGGAATCATTGATGGAATTGCATCAAAGTATTATGTACTTGGCAGTGACCTTCACACAAGTGCCACCAAATTCTGTGTCCACCGCACATTTTAAAGCAAGGAGACTGCTCAAGCATGCTGCCCTGGGCCTTCCTGTGCTCCTCCACCCCCAACCATGGAGAAAAGCTGATCGCCTCTTTCTTTCTCAGCAGCAATGCAGCATTCAAGTCCTGCAGGCAATCTGACAAATGAGCTATGATCTGAGCTGCAGGGGGATGCCTCTACTGCAGCACACATCCCGCACACGTGCCCGCAACCAGTACCGCTATGACACCAAACATACCATTAGCCCTATGCATGCACACTCACACGCTCTCTCTCAGCTGCAATGCTGCACTGATGTTCTGGCTTTAACCTAAAGCTGAGGTTTCTGCTCTGGGTGAGCACTTCCATCACTCGTAATTATCCTCACAATGCAGCACTGAGCACAGCCTCAGAATATTATGGAAGTACTTTGTCTTTGCTCAAAGATACGGGTCTTTTAACAGGAATAAAAGAAGCTTAAAAATTTGAATTTTTTAATAGTTTGTATTTTCAGTTAAAAATGTACTTTTATTTTAAATTAGGCAATTGATTTAAGTATTTAAACTGAGCAAAACTGTATAAGATGATATCTTTTTAAATGTAATTTTAAGTGTAATACAATTGTAATTATTTTTAAGCATGAATCGAACAGAATTTAGTGAGATTTATGTTTAAAACAAGAAAAACAGTTAAAACATTCTTTTTAATTCCAGATATATTCTCAGAAATTGTGTTATCAAGATAAATTTAAATTGATCAACATTATGTAAGGTGATGTCCTTAAGTAAATGTAACTTTAAATGTAATACAATTTGAATGAGCATAAATCTAACAGGATTTAGTGAGGTTTAAAACAAGAAAAACAAAGCTTAAAAAATGTATTTTTTAATTTCAGATATATTTTCAGAAAATATATTATCAAGATCATTTTACTTTTGTTTTAAATTAGATACGAATTTAAATGGAGCAAACTTGCATTCAAATTTGAATTAATTTTAAGCAGAAATCTAATAAAATTGAGTGAAGTTTATGCTTAAAACAAGAAAAACTGTTTTGTTTAAGATTTGTTTAATTCAAGATAAATGCACTTCTCAAGTACATAAAGTATAAAGTATTTACTAGAAAACAAGCAATAGTAATGATTTAAAACATTGAACCAAAAATGGTTCTTCTATGGCATCGCTTGAAGAACCTTTTGAAGCACCTTTATTTTTAAGAGTGTACTACTGCTGTGCCAACAAAGCGAAATATCCGTTCACCAGCCAGTCCTTCATTTCACAGCATGGCCTCACTTATGGCTTCCATATGAAATAAACAGCAGCTGGAGAAAGTTTACCCAGCCTGCTGTAAGAATGACTCGGTGCACAGAGAGAGTGAATGTATAAGAGTGTTTTGTGACGGTGGGATTAGCTCACAGTAAATTTCCTTTTCCTTATGACGCTACTCATGCTCACATTCCTGTTCTCAATTCCAGTTCCTGAAAAGAATGAGGTGCCTGTGCAGAGATGTTTGGAGCTTTGGTGAGGAAACATCGCAGGTGAGTCACTCAGAATCAAGCACTTGTTTGTTGCTGCTGGTAGAAAAGGAAACCAGACTGCAATGGTATAAATACAATAGAGCTAGTGTTAAAAGTTGTGTACGAGAGAAACTGTTATGCTACAATAGTTTTAGGTAGGATTCAGTATATCATGTATAACTATTTTAACACTTGTTTGGCTGCTTTAAAAGTAATAATCTCCTAAATATTTTAACTGTAGCTGTGTAATCCCTTTCCACAGCTGGCAGCATAATTCTTAGAAACTACACAGCAACTTTTTCCACTAGAGTCCAAGTCTGACTGTTTGTGACATTTATATAGTTTAATATGGATAGTGTGGCTTTCCGAGCAGGAAACAAGATGAATGTGTTTGCTTTTTCTCATGTGAAAGGTAGCAGTGGCTCTTAGAGGTTGTCTGGCTAAACAAAAACAGTCAGTGGTATTGTGCAACTTCAGTATGCTTGCCTTTATTCAGCCTTACTGAAACACACTTGGTTTGGCATGAAGAACTGAGGCTAATCATGTAAATCTTAAACAACTAAACCCAGAGTTGTCAACCAGGGATCCCTGAAAGTACTCCATAGGGTCCAAAATGTATAAAATAAAACCACATAATAAACCTACATTTTAAATACATTTCTAATTTATATCGTCCAACTTTAAACATATTTATATCTATTATGTAATGTTCATTAACGGAATAGTTCACTCAAAATTGTAAATTTGCTGAAAATGTCCTCACCGTCAAAATGGCCATCAAAGATGTAGATGAGTTTGATTCTTCTTCATCTGAACAGATTTGGAGATTTAAGCATTACATCACTTGCTCACCAGTGGATCCTATTGCAGTGAATGGGTGCCGCCAGAATGAGAGTGCAAAAAAACATCACAATAATACACAAGTGATCCACACGACACGACTCCAGAGTCCAGTCCATCAATTAACATTATGTGAAGCAAAAAGCTGCATGTTTGTAAGATACAAATCCATCATTAAGGCATTTTAACAGCAACACATCGGTCCGTAATTTATTAAAGCTTCCTCCAGTAATAAAAAATGTCCATCCCCTCTTGTCCTCTCACATCAAAATCTATCGAAATATTTGTTTAGAACTGTTTTGACCTGTGTTCACTTGTACATGGTGCCTGATCTGTGCTTATTGCTCTCCTGATTCAGACATGATGTTTTTTTTTTTTACTGGAGAATGGTTTAAAGTTAAAAAAATGCCTTAATGAGTGTGGATTACTTGTGGATTGTTGTGGTGTTTTCATCAGCTGTGTGGACTCTCATTCTGACGGCACCCATTCGCTTTTATGGATTTATTGGTGAGCAAGTGATGCAATGCTGAATTTTTCAATGTTCAATTTTGGGTTAACAATTTCTTTAAAGTTTTTAATTAAAATTTGTAAGTATTTCTGAGGAAATCTAGCTTTTTTTATACTGAAGGTCCATGAGATCCTGGTACTGACAAGGTTGAAAACTACTTAGAAGCAAAGCCAATGTAAACCAGTGCAAGAAAGGCCAATAAATCTATAAGGAAACAAAAGGATTGGTAAGATCTGGGATTTTGTTGGTAAATAATATGCCTTTCTGTTGTGTGATTGTTCTAGGCATGACAAAGAAGCTTTGGATTTGTGAGTAATCAAAGTGAACACAAGGGGACAGTAAAATACTTCACAAGTCCCTCAATGGTAATACTATGGTTAAGGCAAGAATGTGATTCGTTGCTAGTTTAATATAACTTGCTGTTTGTTTTTACCATCACTGCTCACCTCTTCACTGTCATCGAAGTCTACATCAGAGGGAAAATATCTACTCCACCCTACAACAGAATGATCTGAGAGACACTAGCGACCACAGAGATGAGCTCAGCAGGAGTGATACATTGTGTAAGGTCTATGGAGGAGTTATTACTATGTCTTCAGACAGTTTGGGTTGCCAAGATGCCTAATTCTCTGTTGAGTCATATAAAGAGGAGCAACATGAATCAGTGTCTTCAAGCACGGAAATGTAGTCATCACACAAAAGGGTGCAAAAACTTCTAGGTCGGAGTGCAGTCAGTCTGAAAGTGAATATGAAATTGCAGACATTACTGTGATCGAAAACGAGGTTGTGACCAAGTAATCACTACTGTGAATATTGGAGGATGTGTCCCCCTCCATGTCCCCTCAATGGTGGATGTGGCCCTTAAGTGAGAGACAGACTATAGCAAAATGTCAGAAATATTGACAGAAATTGCCTAAACAAGCTGTCAGAAAATAACTATTTATTAAAAGGCAATATTTACCTCTGGAAAAAAAAATCAGTTTTATATAACTACACAAAGCAAACAGTGTAGCATCCATTTATGTCTAATGATTCAATTAAAGTATTGTAAATAAATTATTTTTTAAAGTAAATTTAAATAAAAGGTTTTATTGTATAATTAAAATAATCAAACTGCTACCTAAAAAAATCTAAACATGAAACTTATGCACATTTATACTTATGCACAAGATTTATTTGATCTTCCTTATACTAATAAAACAACTAAATATAAGATCCTAAAATAGAATATTATGAAACAAATCAAATTTGAGATGATCTGTAAACAAAACAGAGAATATATCATCTAACTACATAAGCAACCAGTGTAGCATCCATTTGTCAAATGATTGAATTAATTTAAATAGATTGTCAACATTGTATACTGCTGTATCTAAATAATTCATCGAACTGCTATCTAAAAATGTCTGTATTTATGCACAATATATTACTTAAATTAAGAAAAATACCTTACTTATAAAGCCCTAGAACAAACAAATATTACGAAATATATCAAATTTGAGATAAATAATAAACAGGGGTACTTGCTACAGGGCATACTAATTTTAAGTGAATAAACAGGTGTACTTGCCACAGGGTATATTAATTTTAAATATACGGGGCACTTTTGCCCATTTCTGACCATTTTGTTCCATTTAAAAGAGCGAGAGATACACCAATACTGGGTAATATGTCTACAAATTGACCTAAAATATCCATATGGTTCATATTCAATTCACTTTGAATATAGAGGGTGAGTCAGCGGCTCACAAATAAAACAACTTAGTTTGCTTGGCTAACTATTAGGACTACAAAGATGGTAAATTAAAATAAAAATGAAAGAAAGTTCTAGCGCCTAAATGTATATCTGGCATTCACATAGACAGCGATTATGCCATCATTATGTAGTCCACAATTAGCAGGGTTTATCAGGGCAAATGAGCTAAACAACAACTCAACAGCTCAATTGGGAGGGACGTTCAGCAGCAGCTGGAAGCTATTTGACCACGTGACTGAAGAGACGTTTCTATCGCTGTTAGCAGCCATCATTTCACCCAATACAAGCCTATGCTAAGAAGACATAAAGGGGAGATATAGACTAGTCATGGATTTGCACGGGAATACTGACTGACAGGAACATACTCGCTCCACTCCTTCGCCTACGGTTTATTTTCTGGTATGTATCAGTTGCAGGTACGGTCTGAAATAATTACGGTTGACCACATTTGTCTGTCTTTTTTCTTTGTTGTGTGTTCACATGCACACACTCGCGGTTTCCCAAGCTTTTCCAATGCAAACATCCAGTCGATGTGCTCATTCAACAAGCCGAAGTTATCAAACGGGAAATGCGATATAAACGCGCTAGATTGTGGCACGTTTACTATTGCGTCTCAATGTAAATAATATATTAACATGCTCTAAGCAACAACCACTTCCTGCGTTCCTAATGAGTCTGAAATGGATTTTTAAACCAACAAAGATGTCTCGTGGACCTACATTTGAATAGTTTCCAAGCCTAGTTAAGTTTGGCAGCATCAGGAGATTTGTGTCTCTGATTATTTTGTTCGGTGCTTACATTTAATCTCTCTGCGAAAGGCCAGGTAACGTTAGTCGCATTACTAACTAGCGAAGCTCAATGCACTAATTACTTTGGTGTATGTAACGTTACATCAGAATTGTGCTTGTAGCCGTTTCTACTTGTACTCCTCGACAGTAATGTTAAATATGTTTGGCCCAGACAATGCTGGAGAGGCTTTACTTTCGGTTTATGGTCTTACTGGAGCATTTGGTCTGGAGGCATTTGTGTTAAGCTATCTGTACTTAACGTTATATGCTAAATGAAGATTGAGTCGTCTTCTATTTAGGATTTGTATATGCTACTAACTACAGTTAGGCCCGGTTTTTTAAATGATCTGTTTGGTGTTCTAAGAGTGCTAATAATTGGTAGTAGCACTGGAGTTTGTGTAATCTACTGGGAGGGAAGATTTTTATTTATTTATTTACATACTTGAAGTACTGTTCTTTTGTAAAATAAGTGGAATCACGTGCATTTACCTGCAGCTGGGAGTGGGCCTTTGAGATCGAGATATTGTTGAGATCAGCATTGCTCTTTTTTTTTTTCACTGGCGCCAGATCTCTCTGGAAACTTAAAAACACGGAGTGGAATTGAAGCGGAGTGACTTCAGAACGCTTTGAGGGGAAAGGGGAGATCTTTGTCCCCGCTCCAGTCAAATGATATACCAGACCGGACTTTGATGCGTGTTGCTTGATAATAAGCAAATAAGGCTTTGGCTGCTTTCTGCACTATTTTCATTGGCGGAGAACAAAATAACTAACTGTTCAATTTGTCTAAATCTTAACTCAATTTGAACCCTTTAAAAAAAAAAAAAAAAAAAAAGCAGTTCAACAAAATCTCACGTTGTATATTTAAAGATACAGAAGTCTTCCCATCAACCAGTGTCTTTGTCACTGTCATTTTTCTTTTGCCATATCACTACCATAAATATGAAGTTACCACAGTTTTATTGTTGCTACTCAAACTTTAGTTTAGCAAGTATTTTGGTGGATACTTTGGTTCATGGTAACTTCGGTTTGTAAGGGATTTCTCGTCAATGGGTGTTGAGACGACCCGCAGAGACTTCAGCTCTGTGTTTGGTCTATTTAATGTCAGATTACTCTGGTTTATGTATTCAAGGCAGATTAATCTTACCTTTTGTGTTTGCAAGAACAGTAGCACTGATTTTCTCGTCTCAAGAGGGCGTTAACTGTGTCTGTACTAAATGCTCCCGACTGCACACAGATGTTTGTAGGCCTGTATAACCGGTAACTCCTGACTCTCTGCTGTAGAGGACATCCTACTAGAGCTGTCAAAATTTAGAATATTCGTAGAATAAAAAAAATCCACATTCGAATGCAAAACCGTTGCATTCGAATTTTAGGTCTTCGTCAGGCAGTCTTATCAGTGGCGCACAGTGCGACGACGATGTAATTTATTGCGTTTTAATGCTTTTGTTAGCCTGTCCAGTTGAACCCACTAGATGCGCCGCTGCTGCGTTGTTCATTCAATATATATTGGGGAAAACAAGAGCATCAGTGTGGAGATGTTGCTTGCGTCAAAACTGAAACCAAGCCGTTCACACAGAACGCATATTTATCACATTTTCTAGAGGGACATCTATCAGCGTTGCACTCGCGTCTGGCACAAGGAGAAGGGTATAACTGCAGCCTGGAGATCTCCAAATGGGGGCGGGAACTCCAAAACGGGGTGGGAGCTCCAAAATAGAACGTGGCTTCCTCCCATTGACAGACAGGCACATGACACGCATGCACCATTTTTCCCCCAATCCACTTCAGTGCAAACTCCGCCCCACAGCGGATTCTAAAGATTTTATTGGTTGTCAATTAAAGTGTTGATTTCCTACATTATGCTACAAAAAATGCTAACCCTAAACCTACCCCACACCTGACCCTAACCTTAACCAGTGAAATTGACTGTGCGGTGGGATTGGCGCTGAATAACGTGGTAAAGAAAGTTGCAGTTCAGGAGATAAACGGTTAATAAGATTATGCGATATGAGATCGTTCCGTAACTCCCCAAACGAACCTCACCGGACAATGGCACCTTTTTAGTTACACCCAGCTTCACTACTCCCTAAAACATGTCAAGACTTTATGGCGGTTTTTCCCCATCTCCCACTTTATCATGTTTTTATATGAAGAAAGTAGCCTACTTTTGTGATTTGGTTTTTGGTCCTATTAAACTATACATACATGCATGGTGCGTTTTTTTTTTTTTTTTTTTTTTTGTAATTAAGCACCTTTTTATTATTTATGGTTTATAAACTATTTTAAAGATTATGCACTTTTTTTTTCTTTTTTTCTTTTCAAAGATAGTAGTGTTGTTTTATTACGCTTTGAAGAAACGTGCATAATATCTTTCTCAATGTGCCCTCTTGTGGCCTCGGGAGAGAAGCCAAAATCTTTTTTTCCCCCCTAACTGAAATTATGCCTTTTAAATTAGAATATAGTTCGAATTGATTAATATTTATGTAGAAATTTCGAATTTAGTTTGTCATTTTGACAGCTCTACATCCTACTGGACTGACCTGGAATACAGCAGTGCAAATGTTGTAAATTTAATATTTTAAAGGGCAGGGGCCTGATGTATAAAACTTTCCGTACATTTCCTCCTAAAACTGTATGTACACACAAGCTAGATTTACGCTAGACACTCCAGAACCTGTGCAAAAATCCTTTTATAAATCCCTGTCAGCGGAAGATAGTGCGTACATGCATCTCCTCACCAAAATCACCATATATGGAACTTACAACGCCTAGTTTTACTATGCATAACCTCAGTTGCATATAATTTCCATGCATATTCCTATCCATGTGACTCCATGTTTAACACCGTCAAGGGTACAAGACATTAGGAAAATATGACATGCGGACTAAGACCCCGTCCACACGGAGACTCGTTTAGCTGTATATGCATAAATTGAATCGTATAGGCGTTTGGTCCACATGGATCCGGCGTTTTGGGAGAGTGAAACTGATTTTTTTTTTAAAACCGGATCCCAGAGTGGATAAATCTGAAAATGCCACCCTTGCGTTTTCGTGTGGACAGCAAATCCGTATATTTTCTGAAACTATGAGGTCATCAGCCCATGTCTTGCCCCTAGTCCGACACCGCTACGTCACGTAACAGAAACATGAACAAACACTGAAAGATTCTTTTTATTAACTAACATTAACACGGATTAATAAATGTATTGTTCTATGTTAGTTTGTATACCGCGTGCAAGGTTTATGCGCATAGTTCAAGTGTTCTTAGTTTTTAGTGCATCTCTGGGGCAGAATTACAGCGCCACATGCTGGTCTGGCATGTGTACTACATCGTTTTGTGTCGGTTTTGTGGTTTCGTGGATGCAGATATTTCTTGAGACGAGGGAAAAAAAAAAAAAAAGGGTTCGGATGGGGAAAGCTCTGGCTTCGTGTGGATGTAGCCTAAAATGCAATTTGTACGGTACAATACATTTGCTAAAATCATTCACGGTCCTTGTCTTGTTTTTGCATAAATGGATCAAAATGAATGTAAAAACCGATCAGATAAAATACTTCCCAGAGAATCTTTTTAGATTTCTTTTCCACTGGCCAAAGCGGTATATAATTGTTTTAAACAAATTAAATGTTTTAGGATGTTTAAATAGGCTATAGTTGAATCAGAAATATGGTGTGTGTGTAAATAAGTGTACATAATTGTCTGACGTGGCATCACTGACAAAATATTATAAAAAAGAAACCTGCAAATCTTATCGTTTGTTTCCGATTCTATCCTTCAATCACAATGCTATTTTCAGAATGTTCGCGAAATAAACGCCTCCGTGCAGACTTGGTTGTGCAGTAGGCTAATATATTCGGACCTATTTAAACTTGCCAGTGGTCCGTTCGACCACCGAATCCAGCAGTGTCTGCCACAATATCGAAGTGCGCATCGTTGATGTTCTTCCTAAAAAAATTCTCTTAACAGGAGATCTGCAGTTTAAAGAAACATTACTGTGTGCCTAGCACTCCTCGCTGCCATTAAAACGGCATGCAACAAGAAAAGTGATAAAAAAAAAAAACAGCGCATCCACTACAAATGTCTAAATACCTAAATTAATTTCGTTTTTGTTAAATTTTTGAATTACTTTATGTAATGTCAATGCTTAACTCCATTAATGAGCAGAATATTTAAAGGGGTCATATGATGCGATTTTAAATGTTTCCTTTCTCTTTGGAGTGTTACAAGCTCTTGGTGCATAAAGAAGATCTGTAAAGTTGCAAAGACTAAAGTCTCAAATCCAAAGAGATTCTTAATAAAAGTTCAGAGTCAGCCACACTTACCTAAAACGACTCGTTCTAACACGCCCCCACATATCTACCTCACTATGTGGGAAGATTTGCATAACGCCGCCCAAATGTTCACGCAAAGAAAGAAGACGTAACTTTTATTCTCACTGTAGTATTGTTGACGCTGCAGCCATGTCGTGAAGGCGCTGTGTGCTTCGTTGTGAAAGCGAAACTACTTTGGTCTTCCAAAAGAGGACGATATCCGCTTCGTCATGCCTAGAGCTGATCTGTGCTGGTCGCTGAGGGAATACATCAACTTTCACCATGGACAAAGCGGAGTCCAGCCCGGGGTCCATCACATG